GGGACGCAAGTAAAGCGGTTATGAGAGGGTTTCTGATACAACAGAATGCAGTAAAGAAGAGAATTCAAAATGAGAAGAAGGATAAGATATTGGAGAAAATAAAGGAAAGTGAAAAAAGATTGAGAACAAATCCAAAATCTCAACAGATTCTGAGAGAATTAAAGCTACACCAAGTACAATACATGAAAATGATGAATCAGGAAATAGAATGGAAAATTAAACAAATGAGACAAAAGACATTTGAGTCGGCTAACAAATGTGGGAAATTGTTGGCTTGGCAAATGAAAAAAAGACAAAAATTAAATACAGTTACGAATTTAGAAGTGGAAGGAAGGAATATACAGAACCCAGCTGAGATCAGAAATTGTTTCCAGAGGTACTTTAAACAACTATATACACAAGGGCCACTGAAAGGAACTGATCTATATCAATTTTTGAAAGCAAATGGATTACAAAAAATCTCTCAAGAAAATAAATTAATGTTGAACTATAAAATAACTGAACAGGAGATAGAAGGTGCCATTCAAAACATGCAATTGGGTAAGTCTCCAGGAACGGATGGATTGACTTCTAGATATTACAGATCCTTGAAAGAATGGTTAATACAACCTTTGAAACAGGTCTGTAATGAAATAATGGAGGGGAAAAGAGCACCAGAGTCGTGGAAAGAAGCTTATATTACACTTGTACCGAAAACAGAGACTGAAAAGACACAGCTTAAGAACTACCGTCCCATATCATTACTCAATGTGGATTACAAAATTTTTGCAGACATTTTGGCTAAGAGATTTAAAAAGTGTTGATGGAAGAGATTCATAAAGATCAAGCGGGCTTTCTCCCAGGAAGACACTTGTCTGACAATTTGAGGAATATAATTGATATTTTGGAAAAACTAGAAGTGAATATAAATACTAAAGCAGTTTTGATATTTGTGGACGCGGAGAAAGCTTTTGACAATATTTCTTGGAGCTTTATGAAGAAGAACCTACAGGGTATGGGGGTAGGCCAAGGCTTTGAAAATGGTATAAGTGCAATCTATTCAGAACAAAAGGCTAAATTAATTGTAAATAATGTGGTGACGGAAGAACTTAAAATAGAAAAAGGGACACGACAAGGTTGCCCAATTTCCCCACTACTTTTTATTTCGGTCCTGGAGGTTTTGCTGAACATGATTAGAAGGGACCAGCTGGTTAAAGGTATACAGGTTGGAGCAAAACAGTACAAATTGAGAGCATTTGCAGATGACTTAGTACTGACGTTACAGGAGCCAGAATCTAGTACCAAAAGGGTTTTAGAACTGATTCAAGAATTTGGTCAGGTTGCAGGATTTAAATTGAACAAGTTAAAAACTAAGGTTTTAGAGAAAAATCTAACACCAATGGAGAGAGAGAGGTTTCAGAATGTGACAGGTTTAACAGTGGTTAAGAAAGTTAAATACCTGGGGATTAACATGACAGCAAAAAATGGGAATTTATTTAAAGATAACTATGAAAAATGTTGGGCTGAAGTGAAAAAGACTTAGAAATTTGGTCAAATTTGAAGCTTTCACTGCTGGGCCGTATTGCTGCGATAAAAATGAATGTATTGCCTAGAATGTTGTTTTTGTTTCAAACACTGCAAATTGTGGACGAAATGGACTGTTTCAAGAGGTGGCAGAGAGATATTTCCAGATTTGTCTGGCAGGGCAAGAAACCCAGAATAAAATTTAAAATACTAACAGATGTAAAGGAAAGAGGTGGATTTGCCCTGCCAGACCTTAAACTTTATTATGAATCAGCAGCTTTTTGCTGGTTGAAAGAATGGCTGCTTCTTGAAAACACTGACATTTTGGATCTAGAAGGTTTTAACAATGTATTTGGATGGCATGCATATCTGTGGTATGATAAGGTCAAAGCACATAAAGCATTTAAAAATCACATTGTCAGGAAAGCACTGTTTAATGTTTGGATAAGATACAAGAATTTATTGGAAAACAAAACTCCAAGGTGGTTGTCACCAAAGGAAGCGAAAGCCTTGAAAAAGCTCAATATGGAGGTCAAATGGCCGAAATATTGGGAAATTTTGGAACAAGATGGAGATAGACTGAAATTGCAGAGTTTTGAAAAATTAAAAACAAAGTGCGAGACTGGCTTCATTATTATCAGATAATGGAGGCATACAATTTGGACAAGAAAATTGGCTTCCAGGTGGAGAAATCAAAATTAGAAACAGAACTGTTAGAACCCAAAACTAAGAATTTGTCAAGAATGTATAACTTGCTGCTGAAATGGAACACTCAGGATGAAACGGTAAAATCTGCTATGATTAAATGGGCACAAGATGTTGGACATAACATTATGTTTGCTGACTGGGAACAGTTGTGGACCACAGGTATGAAATTCACTGCATGTAATGCCTTAAGAGAAAATATTATGAAAATGATATACAGGTGGTACATAACCCCAGTCAAGCTTGCAAAAATCTACCATTTGCCTGATAATAAATGTTGGAAATGTAAAGAAACTGAAGGTACATTTTTTCACCTTTGGTGGACGTGCCCAAAGATTAAGGCTTTCTGGGAGATGATATATAATGAATTAAAAAAGGTATTTAAGTATACCTTCTTGAAGAAACCAGAGGCCTTTCTGCTGGGCATCGTCGGCCACTCGGTGTTAAAAAAGGATAGAACTTTCTTTATGTATGCAACAACAGCAGCAAGAATACTCATCGCAAAGTATTGGAAGACACAAGAGCTACCCACACTGGAGGAATGGCAGATGAAACTGATGGACTATATGGAACTGGCGGAAATGACTGGTAGAATCCGTGACCAGGGAGAAGAGTCGGTGGAAGAAGATTGGAAGAAATTTAAAGATTATCTACAGAAACATTGCAAAATCAAAGAATGTTAGAGTGATGATGGATTGAAATTAAGTGGTTTCTAGCTGCACAGGCGTTAAAGTTATATATAGACTAAGATTAAGGATTAGGCATAAAAGGTTAAAAGAACGGAAAATTGGCTATTAATAGATAAGAATTTAATGTTATACCATATTAAGATTAAGGATTGGGATTTAAAAAGAGGGAAAGAAATTGCTGGACAAACAAATTGAACTGGAATACAAAAGAGGGAGGTACAAGGAGGTCCAGAAAATAAGTAAATTCAAAAGTGGTTATGAAAAGGTGGTATTGTTTTTAACTGTTTTTTCTTTTGTTTGTTTTTTATTTTGTATTGTGTATTTTTCTTTTTACTTTTAATTCTCTTTTACTGATGTGTTCTGTTTTTATTGGAAACTTTAATAAATATTTTTTTTTAAAAAAAAGTTATATATAGATCAAGATTAAGGATTAGGATTAAAAAGGTTAAAAGAATGGAAAATTGGCTTTTAATAGGTAAAAATTTAATGTTATATTATATTAAGATTAAGGATTGGGATTAAAAAGGAGGGAAAGAAATTGCTGGACAAACAAACTGAATTGGAATACAAAAGAGGGAGGTATGAGGAGGTCCAGGAAATAAGTAAATCTAAAAGTAGTGATGAAAAGATGGAATTGTTTTTAACTGTTTTTTCTTTTTTCTTTTTGTATTTTGTATTGTGTATTTTTCTTTTTCTTTTTAAATTCTTTTTTTATTGATGTGTCTCTTTTCATGTGAAACTTTAATAAATATCATTTAAAAAAAGAGAGAGAAACACAGGACTTAGCAGGCGATAGCTTGTCTGAGTCAGTTTGCAAACCTCTCAGCGTGCAAGAATGCAGAAGAGGAGGGCTACAAGAAAAGGGGAAATTGACATCACAGAAGCGACGGAAGAGATTCGTTTTCAAGCGTTGTTTCCGGAGGAAGAGGAACAACGCTGAGGATTTAATTGAGTCATCATCAGGGTAGCCATAAGCCACGCCGGCAGAGAGCTCCGGACGAGTGGCATGCTTTTTCCAGAATAAAACCAACTTTTAATTGACTGTACGTGTACACGTCTTGCTGCCACTACAGGCAGCTTGACTTATGAACCATTTCTCAGGAGCAGATTCCATTCGCATAGTAGGATTTGCATGTACAAGTAAAGAAATAGAAGCTGGACCTTTGCAGAAGACCAGGAGAGGATGATGGAAGCCAAATTGTCTTGGTGGTTTCCAACAGAGATTCTTATGTAGGTGATTCAGAAGTCTTTTCCAAGACTGCAGTGTTCCTAATGTTCTTATACTGTGCTTGCAAGAATAGATTGCCTGAGATCAGTACACCTGTGATTCTCCAGCTGATCAAAAACTATGGAAGTATAGCCAGAGATAAGAGTGAGTTTTTTCTTGGTATGAACTTTCATGTGCATGCATGAAGAAGTGTACATGCACACAAAAGCTCATACCAAAAAAGCTGTTTCGGGAAGCTTTTAATGTTTGATGTATTATAGTATTTTAATATTTTTTTGGAAGCCGCCCAGAGTGGCCGGGGAAGCCCAGCCAGATGGGCGGGGTATAAATAATAAATTATTATTATTATTATTATTATTACCAAGAACAAACTTAGTTGGTCACTAAGCTGCTACAGGACATTTTGTTTATTTATTTATTTATTTATTTTATATATATATATTACACATACCCATTGAACTTGATGAGGCTGTGGATTTTATGTAGATAAGCGCAGGACTGCAGGATGTGTTTCAGGGGCTATGTGTCTATTATTGCTGTACTACTGTTTGCCTGACAGCTGCCAGTAAAAATGCCAGAAGTTCCTTAGAATGGAAGCCCTTGTCTGAGCCCTGAAATAAAGGTAGTATTGATTGATCTAATAGATACCTAATTATCATGTTGCACTGTTATATCAAAGCATCATTGTAAGCCAAAGACAGAATAGCAAATAAGGAGCTGTCCTCTTAAATTAAGATATATAATACATAAGTCCCTCCATTGTTTCAAATCCAGGATTGTGATGTAGCACAACAAATCTTCCAATGGCAATGGCTGTCTTAAATTTTTACCATATATAAGAAGACCTAATTGCCTCCATTGTTTCAGTATGTCCAGGGAACAAATATGCCTCTTAAATCTTATGTCAGACAGTGTATCCTTGCCAGAGGTAAAACTTAATTTGCAGTCTTATCCACATACTCATTGAACTCGATGTGAGTGTGGATTTTGTGTAGCTAAGCACAGGACTGCAGGATGTGTTTCAGGGGCTGTGTGTCTAGGCATTCAGGCTATGCTATCAGATCCTTCAAGGGTCCCAATTTAATCAGGACTTCTTGAATTGGCAGAAGCTGCTCCAGCTTCTGAGCCCAATCCAGGATGCCCTGATTTTCCCAGAGGCCACTCTAAGCTGCGCTGCATCTCAAAATGCGTCACGGGCTGGAGCGATCTGGGAAAGGAAGAGGTCAGCAGCAGGTAAGGGGCAAGCGACGGAGATGGGGGGTGGACGGTGCCCCAATTTTTTTCACGAAATGTTGGAGGGTGTGCACTAACAGCAACCAAGAAATAAGTCAATGGATCCAATATACATTCCTTTGGGGTCCTTTTTCCAATGCGCACATTCATATTTGTGAGATGGATGATGGAGAAGAAAATGACTGGGGAGCTGTGCATTAGGCAATTCTGACATGGATATAAGAAATGGTGAACTTCAGGAAGCATAGGACGCAGAATGGAATGAAGAAGAGAAACAGTCAAGAAAGAGAACAGAAGACCACACAGCCTTGGCAAAGTGCACCCTGTTCTCCCCGTCAGCACAAGATGACTAATTGCCTTCCCCAGTGGCACTTGGACTTAGTCTAGAAGGAGGTTGCATCACCCAACAGAGCTGAAGAAGGGCTATATAAAGAAAGCAGAGAGCACCATCCTGAGCACAGCAGAGACCAAAGGCAACTCTTCCTTGCCTGTATTCTTTTTTGCCAACTCAAGGAGGATACTCCAATTCTGACGCACCATGAAGTCGTGTCTCATCCTGCTAGCTGCAATGCTGTTGGTTTCAACGCTTAGCGGTTCTGATGGTGAAGACAAACCGGGCCACGTAGTAAGTAATGTTAAATGTTTGTAGGTGTTTGTATGTGGAATGGTTTGAGGGTGTGAATTGGCTCCTTGCTATATATGGCAAAGGTGTGTTCTGTTGCTTGTTCTAAAACGAAACAAATAGGGTGTGAGTAGAAGATGAGAGCCTGGGTTGTTTCCTACTCAGAGCAGACCCATTGAAATGAATGGGCACAACTAACAGGCCCAGGGGGGAAACACCCCCAATTGAGCATGAGTTGAACTTTGTACAAAGTTCCGAAGCAAAAAGGGGGACGGGGGGGGGAGAAAATGCATTGTGTCTGATGTTGGTCCTACACATAAGAACATATGAAGAACCAATGACCCATCTAGTCTAGCATCCTGTTCTTCCCAAAAAGTAAGAGCCAAGCACAAGAGCAGTCTCCTCTCCTGCAGTTTCCATCAATTGGGTTAGGGCTGCCATATTCCCCAAAGTGAAAGTTGCCATATGGGTTTTCCCAGACATTTTGCCAATTTGACGGAAACCCACCCGGATGTCATTTTGACAGTCCGATTCCCAGGAAAACATGGACATATGGCAGTCCTAACTTGGATGCATTTCTGTCTCTGACTGTGGAAGCAGAGCAGAGTCATCCTGACTAGTACCCATCAGAGTAGACCCACTGCGGTTAATGAGCATGTTTAACATGCTCGTTCTTCCATGTGACATCCTGTCAAGAGGTCCATTCCACACAATGTCAGAATCAGGCCAGCACCCTCCCATTGGCAGGCGCCAATGTCGTTTCTGTGCCTACTACAGATGTTCCACTTTCGACAAACCTTCTAAAAACTTTATGCCTCTTGGATTTTTCATTGCTTTCATGGGTGTGCTATTGCTCTTTTAAAACTGCTGTTATATTTCGTAATTTTGTCTGTGTGTTTCGTAGTTGTTTGTGTGTTTTTTAAATGATTTTATATATGATTCATTTTTCAAAAACAGTTTTAGTATATGTATCTGTTATATACAGTATATGGTCTTATACTTCAAGCCACTTTGGGATGCCTCACGGGAACTGAGTCGTTAATAATAATAGTAGCAACAACGAAGAAACAACAACCCACCTTTTCCCAGATTTCTCCTCCTGTGTTAATCTTCCCAATCCAATGCTAAAGAGGGTTGAGGGGATGACACATCAATATGGGAAGGGTCCAAGAAGCAGCTGCTCCAAATGCTAAGTCTTACCTGCCTCTTTTTTCCTACAGGTCAGGGATAACTTGAAAAACGTTGATGCAGAAGATCCCAATTTATTCAAGAAAAATATAAAACCACTACGTTTCGTGCCAAAAGAGCGAAGAGCGTTGCCAGTGAAGTAAAGAAGTCCTCATGTCTGGATGCGTGTGGACATTCCTCCTTGGCCTCTCGACCTCTCAACCCAAATCACAGACTCCCAAATTGGAGGTGGACCAGAGATCAACTTCCCCTTCACTGGATTGCCCACTGTCTAAACCACGGTTGTGGCACTCTATACCTCTCTCCTTCTCTCTTGGGATTCTTATGGGCCTTGCTCTTCCCCCGCAGTTTGATTGCTTTTGCCTGACTAAATGTTTTCCTTGAATTGTGATCATGCCTCTTGCTCACCCAGTGGGTGGTTGTGGAAACTGTCAGAAATGTAGCAGCAGAGATCATTCAGTGTGTTATTTAAGGGTTAATTCTGTTATGAGTAAAGTCAGCTAACCAAAAAGGTGGTGGTGGAGGTATTGTATTCCTTAGGCCAGCCTATCTAGACAAATAGATACTGATGTGTTTGATTCTCTTTTAATGTTAATCTTAATTGTTTTAAAATGTTTTAAATTCTTTTAAACTGCTTTTTAATGATTATATAAATTTGTAACCCCCTTAAAGGTTTTACTACAATCAAGAGGGATATACATTTTGTTAAACTAAAAATGGAAACAAACCAGATATGATCTCCATGGAGGTAGCACATGGTCTGCTTGGCTGCATAGTTCTAAGGGAGGTTTTCCACTGTATGTTTGGTTGCGTGTCTCGCTGCCCTGTGCAAGTCCTGTCTTAAATTATATGCTGCTTTTGTTCTGTTTGCTCAATAAATTAGGAAATGTTATTTCCTGTTTGCAGAGTTTTAATTAATGGTGTGCCAAAACCCACCATCTGATTTCTAGAACCTGTTTCTTCCACTGAGAAAGAGACCTTCATAAAGACTTCATTTTTATGGACAACAGCACACCAGGGGTGGGAAGATGTTCACTTTTGGAGAAGCCACAAGATGCCTTCATAAGAAAACCTCACCTGGGTTTGTTTTAATAGCCAATAGATTGGTATCTGTCCTGAGGGTGGCAGGTAGTGCTGTGGTCTAAATCACTGAGCCTCTTCGGCTTGCTAAACAGAAGTTTGGCTGTTTGAATCTGTGTGACAGGGTGAACACCTGTTGCTCTGTCCCAACTTCTGCGAACCTAGCAGTTTGAAAGCATACCAGCAAGAGTAGATAAATAGGTACAGCTGTGGCAGGAAGGTAAATGGCATTTCTGTGTTTTCTGACACTCATCACGGTGTCCCGTTGCACCAGAAGCTGGTTAGTCATGCTGGCCACAAGTGGTGTGTCTGCCCACCTGTCAATCAACTTATATCAGGAGGTCATCAACTGGTGGTTGGAGTGTCAAAGCCCTGCCTTGGAGCTCTTTTACAGCCCCTTTCAAAGATCCCTTCATTGTGTGGGAATTTTATGGATAGTAGGAGAGTATATATTGATTAAATATTATCCTTCCCAACCCACACTTGTGAGTCTCTCATATGTGTGTGAGTGTATAGATAGGTAAAGGTAAAGGTAAAGGTAAAGGTAAAGGTAAAGGGACCTCTGACCATTAGGTCCAGTCTTGGCCGACTCTGGGGTTGCAGCCGTCATCTCGCTTTATTGGCCGACTAAGCTGCTTCTGGCGAACCAGAGCAGCACACGGAAACACTGTTTACCTTCCCGCCGGAGCAGTACCTATTAATCTACTTGCACTTTGATGTGCTTTCGAACTGCTAGGTTGGCAGGAGCTGGGACTGAACAACGGGAGCTCACCCCGTCGCGGGGCTTTGAACCGCCGACCTTCTGATTGGCAAGTCCTGGGCTCTGTGGTTTAACCCACAGCACCACCTGCGTCCCAGAGGTATAGATAGATAGATACAGAGATAAATAGATTGATAGATAGACAGGCAGACAGATAGATAGATATGAGAGAGAGTTTATTCCCGCTTTACACAGCAAGAGTCTAGTTGCATATTCGTTTCAATCTCTTTAGTTAAAGAATCCTATCTGGCAGTTTATTCCTGGTAAGACCCCTTTGATTCCCTCGTAAAAGAATAAAGACACAAGAGTCTTCCGTATAAGTATTAAAAGTTTACTCACATTCAATTCTCAGATCCCTGAAAGCAAGCTTTAGCTTGTAGTGACAGATACAGTGTGGCTTACATCCTTGTTAGGATGGGCCCATGGGCTGCTGGCAGAGAGCCAGCAGTGCAATACAAGAGAAGAAATGGCATCAAAAATGAGCAGCATCAAAAGAAGCTGACTACATGACTGGACCATTTGTGGGGTCTGCAAGGGTCATGTCCACCTACCTGGTCACATGCAGAGGGAGGATACTTGAGACCAGGTGTAACAGGAAGTTCAACTGACTGGAGTAGCATCCCCTGCTTGTGTCCACTCTAGGCAAACAGGAAATGTAGTATTTGTCGGCTCCAATGGATTACATCCCACCCATTGCATGTGGAAGCTCAGCACTACCTGACACACCTAGCACCTAATGGGCTACATGTGATTAATGTGTCCCTTGTCTGCACTGGGCACTCCTCCCACTCAATTCCATGTTCATCTCCCTGATCACTCTGCAAGGAGCACAATCGCCCCAGCTCCTGCAGGACTTTATACCGAGTTGTCCTCCTTGAAGCAGACATGGAGGATGGGGCGTTCCATGATGCCACCTGTCAATCAACTGACCGGAGGTTTTCAGCATGATGGTTGGAGCGTCAAAGCCCTGCATTTGCATGCTTTTCCAGCCCCTCCAAGGAAGGAGGCTTCATCACTGCTTGAAGGAGTCCATTCCACTGTCAAACTGCTCTTTCCATCACAATGTACTTCCTAATGTTGAGTCAGAATCTGCTTCCTTGTAACATGTTGCCATCGGTTCTGGACCTACCCTCCAGAGCTGGAGAGAACAAGCTTGCACCATCCTCCATGTGACAGCCATTTAGATATTTAAAGATGGCTACAATATCTCCTGTCATTCTCTTATGCAAGCTAAACATACCCAACTCCCTCAACAGTTCCTCATAAGGCCTGGTTTCCAGATCCTTGATTATCTTGGACACCCTCCTCTGCACACATTCCAGCTCATCAATATTCTTCCTCAACTGTGGCACCCATAACAAGACACAATACATCAGGTGTGGTCTGACCGAGGCAAAATAAAATGGTACTACTTCCCTTAAACTGCACACTATACTTCTGTTGATGCAGCCTAGAATAGCATTAGCTTTTTTTGCCGTTACATCACACTCTTGGCTCATGTTTCGCTTGTTGTCTACCAAGACCCCTAGATCCTTTTCACATGTTGTACTGGCAAGCAAAGTCCTGCCCCCACCAAATTTTACGTATGTGCAGCTGCTTATTTCTACCTATAGTAAGTGCAGAACCTTGTATTTGTTTATATTGAAACTCATTTTGTTAGTTTTGGCCCAGTTCTTCAAACTATTAAGATCATATTGAATCCCAGTTCTGTCATCTGTGGTGTTAGTTACCACGCCCAGGTTGGTGTCACCTGCAAATTTGATTAGCATCCTCTCAATTCCTTCCTGAAAGTTATTTCTAAGGAAATTGAACAAGGTGCCTAGGACAGAATCTTGCAGCACCCCACTTATCCCCTTTCCCCAGGATAACGAGGAAGCATTAGTGAGCCCTCTCTGGGTTTAGTCAGTCAATTAGCTCATCTGGAAGATCCTTAGTTCAAGTTTAGTTTATTACGGCCATAGGCCCACATTCAATACATCATACAGCAGAACAGGTATAACAAGATAAAATTAATAAATTAAATTACGTTTAAGTACATCTCAATCCGTAAGTTTCTAAATTCCATTAAAATAAGAACAATATAGCGCTTAAAATATCAGATTATCAGTATAAATCAATATTATTTAGGCAAAATCAATAATCTTGCCTTAATAAAGGCATATCTGTGGGCCGCTACAGACAAAGAGGTCAAATAAGATGGTATCTGCTGTGAGGGCACTATGCCAAGATTTAATGGTGAGCAAGTGCCACTACCCAAAATGGTGTTTTGTTGTAGGTCAATCTCCTCAAGTTTTTGAGTGAGGGTTTTTTTTTGCTGTGGCTAGGTCCAATTCCAATAATTCTGATGGAGACGATCCATAGGTCACTACTTTGGAATGGATCTCTTTTGCCCCTAGGACGGGAAAATTATCTCTCCAGAGGCATTGGATCAAATACAGATTCGGGAGCCTATGCCTTAAGGACAACCAGTAACAAAGGCTGCGCCTCCAAAGAGTATTTTCTAAAGATGTAGTTTTTAATTCTAAGCGAATAGCTGCGTTACTAACGCACTGAGGAAGTTTTAGCAGTCGTCTTAGAAATTGGTTTTGAATTGCCTCCAAGGTCATCAAGTTTACTGCGGTCCCCCATAAAGGAACAGCATATGCCAATGTTGCAATTACTTTAGCTTTGAATACTTTCAAGGCAGATGGAACATGAAGAGCCCCGTCCGAAAAGAAAAAGCGCAAAAGCGCAAAGGATAGGGCCTTGGCCTTGTTTAAAATATGTGCAATATGCGCCTTCCAACCCAGATTATATTGGAGAAAAACTCCCAGGTATTGAAATTTATAGACCTGTTCAATAGGTTTTCCATCTAATTGCCACTTATAGGATTTCCGACTTTTTGAGAAAATTAGTACTTTGGATTTAGATTGATTTATAGTGAGGGAATTTGTTTTACAATATGAAACAAATAGTTTTAATGCTCTCCTGAGGCCAATTCTTGAGAAGGATAAAATCACAACATCATCAGCATAGAGTAATAATGGGCAACGATAGTTTGCGAGACGGGGGGCATGGGTGATTTCCTGAGATTCAGCCAATGGTATCCTCATGTCACTAATGAATAAATTGAAAAGAAAAGGAGCTAGGATACATCCTTGCAGGACTCCTCTGTTGATGGGCACAGAATTTGTGAGATCGCTGGCTGGGGTTATTCTCACCCTAGCAGCCGACCCCTCATGCAGCTGGATTATTAACCATAAAAGTCTTCTATCAATTCCCCATCGGGCCAACTTTTCCCAGAGTAACCTTCTTGGGATGCTGTCAAATGCAGCCTTAAGGTCGATAAAAGCCGCACAAAGTTGGCCTCGGTTTGAAGAGGAATATTTCCGGGCTAGATGGTGCAAGACTAAAACATGGTCCGTAGTTGACTGGTTCGGTCTGAATCCTGCTTGCTCGGGGCCTATCAGTTTCTTTTCTTCAGCCCATTGGGTAAGTCTATTCAGCAGAAAACGTGCATATATCTTTCCAACTATTGACAGTAAACTAATATTCCTATAATTCTCTGGGTCGTCTGGGGAGCCTTTTTTATATATTGGGATTATAATAGCGTCCTTCCATATTTTTGGCACCCTTCCAGTTGCATTAATAGCATCGAAAGTAACAGCCAGGATTTTTGCCCACCAGTCGGAATGTAGTTTTATGGCTTCCGCCGGAACCAAATCTGGCCCAGGGGCTTTGCCGATTTTAAGTTTAGAGATTAAATTCAAGATTTCATCGGGGTCAGTAGGGGGCCAGATGGGGAGATGGTCAAATACATCATCAAGAGCGTTGGTATTGGAATCTGCTGACGCAAAATATTTCCTTAAAAAGGATTCCCAGACCGGGGCAGGAATTATTGTTAAGGGGTATCTCCTTGATCTTCTATTAACCAATTGCCAAAATTGCCGTGAGCTACATGAACTAGAGGCGACTATAAGCGCCTGCCAGCGATTTTGTTGCCACTCTTGCTTAGCCATTCTCTGGGCTTGCTTATATGCTGTTTTTGCTTGTTGGTAATTCCTAGGTAATACTAAAGCACCAGAAGATTTATATTCATTGTAAATGGCACAGAGATGTCGTCTAGCTTGTTTGCATTTTAAGTTGAACCAAGGGGCACCGGTCTTAAAATGGACCCGATTTACTTGGATGGCTGGTACTGTAAAAAAGGACATAAGATCTTCTGTAAGCAGAGAAAATGAATTAATAATTTGTTCATGCCCATACAAATCTAAATCCAAAACAACATGAGTTTGAATTATCTCTTGTTGGAAAAATTCCATGTATTTTTGGGCTTGAGTTACTGACCATTTTATTCCTCTCACTTGTTCTGCAGTATTTATTCCCGTATATATGGGGTGTCTGGACTTGATAGACTGCCAGTCTAGGGAAAACTTGGCACTCAAGGGGAGATGGTCGCTCATTTGGACGTTTTCTATTTTAAAATACGAAAAATTTGGGAATAGATCTCTGGAAACAATAAAATAATCGAGAACACTATTTGTAAGTGTGCTCAAATGAGTGAACTCACCCGGAATATCCGGGGGACAATTTCCGTTTAAAATTATCAAATTCAAACGTAAAATCAGTTGATAAAGAAGGGTTCCGCTTCGTTAACCCTATTATCTTTCGATTTTCTCTGTATATGGGGGGAGAAATCCAAGTTCTGGTGATCAGGTATGACCCACCATTTGGCCTTGCCTAGCGCTTCCCAGTTTGCAGCTGTACGAGCATTAAAATCACCTCCCATGACTGCTGAAATATTTGGGAACTTAGTGTAACAGAAAGCTGGGTGTTCTTCAAGTGTTTCCCATTTGGAATGGAGGTCCACTACCTGCCCCCCAGGGGGGAAATAAACATTTGTTACCAGTAGTTCAAATTTCCCTCCTGAAATCAATCCTGTGATCGCGTAAGGCGAGGAAGATTTAACAAGTGTAAGTTTTGCTTGCAATTTGAGGGAGATGGCTATTACCAAACCTCCCCTAGGGCGTCCACCTTTAAGAGAGGGGCTAGCTGGGAGCAAAATGGTATCGTATCCATTTATGTCAATCACCTCCTCTTCCCAAGTTTCTTGTAGGAGAATTACTTGGAATAAATTAACAAATTTTAAGAAGTCTGGATCAGATTTCTTCCCCCTCCATCCCGCAATATTCCAGCATAAAAATGACATCGAGGAGTGGCTGGGTTGGTCGTTAGGTAGTCAGATCATGTGGGAATGGGATTCTAAATTTGGGGGAGTTTCAGCTTCAAAAAGATCAGTAATTTTCCTTTGAGAAGGTGGCAATCGTGCTATACACCCCAACTGTTTAGATTTATTGGGGTGGTTTGGCTGTAAAGTCGTGCCACTCGTCTCGCTAAAGGCAGATGTTAGGCCTAAGATAGTCGACTTTTCAGAGCCAGATGGTAGAATTAGGGGGGTATTACTTAAAGAGAGCGAATTTAAGTCAACAGGTATCGTGCCACTAGTTGAGTGATCATTAATTGTTTGGATAATTTTGTTAATACGACCTGTCGGGTCTTCGACCAGATCATTCTTCGGGGCTAAAAATAAAATGGAGTCGTCTCTCATTTGTTGGTCTGGTTCAGCTGGTTCTGTTATCGGTTCGATGGTATCTATGGATTTATTCAACTTGCACACGTTAGAAGAGAGTGGGTTAATAAAGTTACAAGTAAGTGGACCCATATGGGGCACTTTACATGGAGAGCCTAATTCAGATTCGTTAAGTTCCCTCATTTTGTCCCAGGCAGATGTTGTAGTCATATTTGCCTCAGAGATGGGGTGCATGGTAGATGGGTCTGGTGGTAAGGTTTCCGCCTCCAGAATATGGAAGAGTGGATTCATTTCCGCAACAACCAGTTGGCTGGTAGGGGTGGGTGCCTTCCCAACCCACAGGTCCAGTTCTTGGTGGTATAAACGTGGGACCGAATCTGAACCACAGTCTCTATCAAGCATATTTTGTTTAGGTAGTCTCAGCTGTTCCTCCGTCACTTTTGTCAGGCAGAAGTAAAGGGTATCAATTTTATGAAGTATTTCTTTCTGAACTTCTGGCGGGAGAACGCTATAAGAGTAGAGTAAGTTATTATCAAAGCTGTCAAGATCGATTCCCTGATTCTCCGCATACCTGGGCCCAAGGGAGTCCAACCTTTGAGAGTCCTTGGCAACCAGACCAGTAGGATGTTTGGAGATGTCCTCCGCAGAGTTTATATCAATTAAAACGTGTTGGTCAATCTCATGTTGAGTTTTTGGCAAATTTACGATATGGGGTATAAGTGGAATTGGAGGTGCTTCATTTTTAAAGTACCTTGAGATTCTTATACCACTCGTCTCCAGTTGTTCTCTACATTTATACACTTGTTTTGCCAGTCTCCCTTTGTAGAATGAGACCACCGCTCTGGCAAGGAATCCATTGAAGTATAGATATTCCACTTGGGCCAAATCAGTAGGGTTATTAAGGATGCCCGGCATATAGATCTTTAAAAGGTTCAATAGATGGGCTTTACGCTCTTTTTGTGACAGGAGTCCTGGGGGTTTGGGATAATTTGATAAAACGAGTTTGTTTCGGTACAGCACCAGATTCCAGTTTTTATTTGTTCGATTTATCAGATTTCTCTTCTTAGAGGGATTGGATTCATCTACAGATAGAATGTAAGACCATGGGTCTTGGATCAAGATGTCTTGCTTGGAGTTAGGTGTTGGGGTAGGTGTTAAGGGTTTCAAGGAATCCATCGCAGCGTCAGGGCAAGGGTTTATAGAACGTTCTTGCTTAGAATATTTCCTGGTTAAAAGTTTCTCAGTGTTCCCACTGGTCTCGGTTATTGGGATACTCTTGAGAAGATTAAAAAGCTTTTTAAAATCCATTTTTTTGTGACGCACTGCCTTAAAATTTTTAACATTTCTGCTCTTTTTTGCCCTTATGAGCCTCCTTTTCAAGGCAGTAGCCCTACAAGATCTCTTGGCCTTCCTTGGTGATCTGCTTTTGCAGGTGATAGGAAGGGAGTTGTTATTACTTTCCAATTCTACAGTCATCCCGCTGGATTCCCTACAGAGAGTTTTGCAAGTGTCCAACATTATAATGAGGATTTTTGTACAGGTGGCCAGATGAGATTTTATATTTTTGATATCCTCAGTTAAAAGCACAAGCCATTTTATAACTGATAAATCCTCATCCTCATTTGTCTCAGGTTGGAAGCAGGAGTCTCCTGATGTTTTAGGGTTTCCCAAAGAGATCTCTGCAATTTGTTTTAACATTAGTTCTTCCACTTCTCGGACTTGGGATGGTTCAGGAGAAGCTTGGGATTTAAGTCTCTGTTTTGGGAGTACTTCGGTGACTGTACCAATTGTGTTTGGATTTACTTTGGGCTTTATTGGCCCTTTGTTGTGGCATTCTTCTACACAATCCTCTCTCTGCACAGCCGGCCCTTCAGTGCAGGAGGGAATAGTTTCAGTTTCCTGCTGATTCTCACTCGGCTTAACTTTACCCCTATTCTTAAAGGGCCGAGTGCTTTTTGTTTGAGTTCCCTTTAGGGTAGCTCTTTTAGAGAGAGGTCTTAGATCACTCTGGTAGAAGCCTGATGTTCTATAGCCACTCCTGGTCGTCACCATTATTTATCTTGTAGGGTCAAGTTGGTAAAAATCTCACCTCGGTTCATTAGATCCGTCGGGTGTTGCAGGAGGGTTCTCCGCGAGACTACTTTCAAGGTAGGCAAGTAATTCTCGAAGATCCTTAGGCAGCCACCCAGGTTTCATTAGATGCCTTCCACTTTCTTTTCTTGTTGGAATGGTTTGCATGGGTGCCAACTATGCGGGGTCCTGAGTGCCTGAGCACCCACAAATTTTAAATGAAGGGGACATTGTGAGGAGAACCTGAGCTTACAGGGTTAAACAGCTCAGAGTGTACGCCCTGCCTACTGTTGGGAGGGGGGAGGTTCGTCATTTCCGAGAGCCTCAAGCCTTTGTTCTCTCTCTCCTTTCGCTTTTGAGGAGAGTGGACGTGTTTTCACGATGCTGTTCGCTGTGATAGATAATGGATAGTCTGCTGTAAATAAAACTGCTTTTAGCTGTTAAGATCCTGAGTGGACTTTATTTAAGCACACTGAAGAATGCTCTGGAGTTTTTGCAGTTTTTCTCTTCCGGCTGCTGATCTCTGTTTTTGCTCAGAGCATCGGAATGTGGACTTTGGAATGCAGAGGCCTGGCAAGAGATTGCGCAACAAAAGCGGGCCGGACGCCAGGCTTATCTGAGCAATAAATCAATCTTATTTCAGAGACATCCCTCAAGGTTCTATTACATGGTGCATACATGGCCCACAGGATGTGTGATTGACATCAGCATGCTGCGGGACATGCCGACAACATGCGTGCACACACGCATGCCATGGTAACGTCAGCATGTTGCGGTCACCCACAGTTGTGGGGGCAAAGCGACACGCCTGATTGTGTCTATTTGTGCCTTCAATAGTTCACCTTTAAGAAACTCCCATCCATCATGGGCTCCCTTCTCTTTTAGTATTTCTGACTATTTGATCTCGTCCAGAACACAGCTGAGACAAGCCTAGTTAGCTCAGTTGGCTAGAGCGTGGTGCTGGTAATGCCAAGGTTGCAGGTTTGATTCCCGTTATATGGGACAGCTGCTTTGCAGGGGCTTGAACTAAATGATCCTCAGGGATCCTTCCAGCTCAACAATTCTGTGATTCTACTCAAGAATACATGGATAGAAATGCACCCTGTGTGTGCTCAGAAGGGCTCTTTTAAAGCCTGCAAAAGACATGGTGCCTCCAAGAGGCAGGTACAGGGGGACTGATGTCCAGGGCCCACAGCCGGAAGGGAACCCAGACCTGGAGCTTTCATGTTCTTTCTTTCAGAAGCCCATCTGTGTTCCCACTGGAAACGAAGTTATGAAGCAGAACCCCACCCCTCTAGTGCATTGTTCTTGTCCTGAAGTTGTAACCCTTTGAATAACCACAATTTGCCCTTAGGTTTTTTACTAGCAAGAAGTACACATCTTTCCTGGGGTGGGTTTCTCTGCAATCAGATACTCCCTGGAAGTGATCTGCTGCAATAAGTGTGAGTGGGTGTAAGAGGATTCCCTCACCCCAAATAACAAAATGCAAAATGTAACAACAGTTCAATGAGGCTTAGGCAAGTCCCCTGCTGTTCAGAAGCTAAAGACTGGGCACTCAGTGAGAACTCACAGTATATTTAGATTAATGTAAAACTGTATACATGTCTAGTTTGGAGTCTCTTGGTGACTTTAACAGATATGTGTGTCTGGGAGAAATTCAACAGGTTACCCTTTTCTCCTAGGAGGTTCAGTTCTGGAGAAAAGCTTCACTTGCGTGGACAGACACGGGTATATTTTTGGGCCCAACAATTTACCTAAAAAGGGGACACCACTTTGAATATGACATGAAGCATATGCAATTGTTTTGCAGAGCTGTTTCTTCTTTTCAGAGTAGGTTGGAGGGCCCAGTATGTGGGGGCACCTCAGGATAAACACCTTGTAGGTTCACATTCAAGACACAAAACAGGCTTGAAGCCAACAATTTATTTGCAATTGCTGAATTTTGACAGGTTCCTAGAGGCAACTGGGGTGACTGCCCATAAAATCAGGGCTAATGGAACACGGGAATGGAGTGGAGGTATCAAGCAGTGAAGGTGTGCCTTTGAGATCTTTTGGTGAACCTGCTGAGCATCTGGGTTGATCGCAATCTGCTTCTCAGATTTTTTCAGCCACAGCCGCCTCTGCATCTGTGAGTAGAAAGTAGAGGGCATGTGATTCATTTCTCTGAAAGATCAGCCCTCAAGAAAGCAGGAATCACAGAATTAGGGAGCTGAGGGGGTCTTTGGAAGTCAGTTAGTCCAGTCCCTTTCATTACAAGCATACCCAACATGTGGTTTCTCAAAAAAGGGGGGGCAGAGTTGCTCTCTCACTCCCAAAAACAACACAAATTTCACCATCAGAAATAGCCTCCTAAAGTTCTACCAAAATTTGCCCTCTTATAACTTAAGCTGTAAGATCCACTCCTCTCCTCTGGGTCAGCAAAGTATGATTCTTTACCATCTTCCAAATGACAGCCCTCCATGGATCTAAAGAGTGCTCTCCTCTCCTTTTCACTCTTCCTTTCTCAAGGCTAAACTGTGTTGTTTACCTGTATACAATGTTAGTGCCAGTTCAAGTAGGCCCATTGAAATGAAAGAAAATGGCTTACATTAATTCCAGTGACTCTATTCGGAATATAAATCAGTTGGATATGACTACATGCTTCTCGGGTCTCTGCTCATCCTTATTGCCCTCCCACAACCTCCTCCCGAGTCCTCTATTGATTGCCTTCTCATCTTCCTAGAGCAGTATTCACCTTGTTGAATATCTGAGCAAAAGACAGACATTCAGCAGGTCGGAAACTTCCCATCATGGATACTTCTTTGTTAGCAAAGTTACACCTGCTGAATTCTTGTCCACTAAATTTAAAGGAATAGGAGGACTTGGCATGGACAGAACAGCCAAAACCGAAAGCCAATTTGACCAGGAAGTTGCCAGCCTAGGTGTCCCTCTCACTGCCCAAATCACACTCGAAAGGACAATTCTGCTGAAGCCCATGGAATGGATTGATGTGTGTGGTTGGCCTTAGTTTATGTGTAATGCCTGAAAAAACTTTCCCTGCTCTCCCATGTGCCCTCAAGACAAGATGTTAGCGAACTATGATCAAGACCATAAATGGTGCGGATCTCATTTCTTTTAAATAATTCGGATCTCATTACTTTTAAATAATTCATTGGAGGAGAAAGGAAAGCTGCCAAAGCACAGAGACTATCTAAAAAGCTCATCATCCTTTTGCTCCATCCCCCAGAATCTTCCAGTCCAAACCAACCTCCTCTGCTCAGATGCTGTTCATTGGCTTCCACGCTATGGCGCTTTTCACAAAAACATTTTGGAGGCCTAGAAGTAAAAAGAGATGTAGCTTAAGATCTGAGTATGAATCTCCATGTCATGAATGAACCAGCACCCAGGGAAGATTTACAGTCAGCTAGAGAAAGCAAGCAGGAAGAGATAGAGTTAACTGCAAGTCAGGGGATTATAGTGTGCCAGCGAAGTACAAAATACAGAGACTAGAAATGAAAGCAGTTCAGAGGGAGGAAATGACAACGGAAGAGCATTGTCAGAGTAGGGGGGAGCTGACCCCCTGTTCCCCAAGATCTCGGCAGCTGTAGGAAACACCCACCCACCCTTAGAAGGGAGACATTTGGTTTAGAGATGGACGGCTGTGATTGATGCTCAGATGGAATCTGGGTTTTTTTGCAATTAATCTTCTTTTTAATTAACTACGCTCATTGTTATCAAGACTCCTTGACACGCCAGTACATATTTAAAATGATTGAACAGCTATTCAGCTTCCTCCACCGCAAGAACCATGCCTCTGATTCCTGGAATGTTTGTTTGGATATCAGCAGAAGCAACTATCCTTTAAAATTATTCAGGGGAATTCATGACACTTAGTAAACAAGAATGCACTGTATCCCATCTTCGCCGTCCTCAGAGTAGTCTGGATTTGCATCAATGGACATGACGAAATAGATTCCATGAATCTAAGCCCTTTATTTATTTAGTTATTTATTTATTTATTGAGTGTCCTTTGAGGTGGACGTAGGCTTACAGTGAAATTGACATCCATCAAATTAGTAGGTTTGCAGGTGGATTAGCCACAATCTTTCATTGATGCAGAGTGGTTGATTGTGCAATGACACCAGCCTTCCTGAATGCACAAAGTGCCCTCCAGATGTTTCACACTACAGGTCCAGCCAACTTGGCCAACAGTCAGAGGTGTTGTAGCATCCAAAGAATTTGAAAGGTACCAGGTTAGGGAGCATGGAGCACACTAATAACAGTAATCATAATGACAATAATAGAGAATGGAGAATAGCTTCCTGCTTTGAGCACACCTACGTCATAAACAAGGAATGTTCCTGGGACTTCACAAATCCCCACTATCTCCCTTTCCTTAGCTTTAAAACCATGAGAGCCTCTCTACCCTTTCCCTGCTGAGGAATTTCCAGAAGGCCAACTGGGTGCCCATTTATGTGTTCCTGAGACTCCACTCTCTTTGAAGTGCTCCTTGTGGGACTCTGGTCTTCCTTTGTTTCGGATTTTATGATCCGCTACACACCAGTCTGCCATGCCTCTCCAGGTACAAGGATGTCCTCACCAAGCATCTGAAACAATTTCCTTTCCCTTTCATACTTACATACTCTTTGTACATATCGGTATGCAATCTTGGGCCCTTGCACAGCTCATGAGTGCCAGAACAGACAGCAAGATCACAAGATGCTTCATGATGGATGGAGAGGGCACTGGCTTTGAATCAACTGAAAGGAGAAGAGGGAGGAACTTGCAATTATATATTTACTGAACTCCAGAAAACACAGCAAGCGCAGAGCAATGGAGGCCACAAGAGCAATATCTACAACAATGTGGTACTACAAAGGAAAATATCACAAAACATCCAAGGGATGCCCTCTACTGTGCAGCCTGACTCATTGGATGTTGTAGTCCATGTCCATTCTTATTCACGTAAGATGGCCAACATGTTGTATCAGATTTGTCTTTAGAAACTTATTCCTCAAACCACCCTATTCCGGTAAACTAATACAGTGGTACCTCGGGTTACATAAGCTTCAGGTTACAGATGCTTCAGGTTACAGACTCCGCTAACCCAGAAATAGTACCTCAGGTTAAGATCTTTGCTTCAGGATGAGAACAGAAATCGTGCTCCGGTGGCGCGGCAACAGCGAGAGGCCCCATTAACTAAAGTGGTGCTTCAGGTTAAGAACAGTTTCATGTTAAGAATGGACCTCCAAAACGAATTATTATTTTTTTCCTCCAAAAAAATTATTAGTTTTCTCTTATAATACATAGACAAAAACAAAAAAGAAAAAAATTCATTTGACACAACATAAAAACTTAACAACAATAAAAACACACAAAATAAAAGAATTTTTTCTTCTTCTTATTCCTTGGTGTATTTACATTGCTAAAAGACTTCCTCAACACCCTCCAATCTGGAATTCATCATATTACATATTTAGCAGTTCCCAATTTCATATTTATAACATCAGTATCTTCTTTCATTACTAACTTCTTAACCTTACTTCCAATTGTAATTGATAATAATCTTTGTTATCAATCTTTTTCTATCCCTTAGCCTAATCTGTTACTTCTAGGGATTTCTTAATTATCTTATATTACAATATCTCACTATATCTTCTTTAAATTTCTTCCAATCTTCTTGTGTTTCCTCCTCTTTCTGGTCGCGGATTCTTCCACTCAGGTCAGCCAGCTCCGAAAAGTCCATCATCTTCATCTGCCATTCTTCTATTGTCGGTATTTCTTGCAATTTCCAATTTTTGGCTAATAAAAGTCTTGCTGCTGTAGTGGCATACAAAAACAGTCTAACATCCTTCTTGGGCAATTCTGGTCCTGTTATTCCAAGTAGAAAGGCTTCTGGCTTCTTAATAAATGTATTTTTCAACATTTTTTAAAATTCATTATAAATCTTTTCCCAGAAGTCTTTCACCTTGGAACACGTCCACAACATATTTTAAAAGTGCCTTCTTTCTCTTTACATTTCCAACGTAAGTTATCATTAGTGTGGGAGATTTTTGCTAGTTTCACCAGGGTTAAGTACCATCTATACATCATTTTCATAATATTTTCTTTTAATACAGTACATGCCGTGAACTTAACCCCTTTCTTCCATAACCTCTCCCAATATTCCATCATTCTATTGTGACCCACATCTCTTGCCCAATCAATCATAACAGATTTAACTTGTTCACCCTTTGTATGCCATTCCAACAATAAATTATACATTTTAGAGATGGGCAATCGCGTTAAGAGCCTCTTGATGGGATCGTTCCACATCAGAAACTCTCACTGATTCCAATTCTAAAAGTCTTGTTTCGTGTTCCGAGACCTGTTGTTTCACTTCTTGTTGATTTTTTCCTAGTTCATCAAAACCTTTTTGAAGTTCCTTCAACGTCTGCTTATTTTCAGTAACCTCTGATTTTATTTCAGTTAGTAAAGTCATCACAGTTTCTTCAAAATTTGGAACCTCTTCTAGTTTTACTCTCTGGTTTATTCAACTTGTCAGCCCCATGCATGGCTATTTATAATTCAAGGTCAAGTTAATCAGTCTCAGTCACAGGATTTTGGACACAAACACCAGCTGGCAGCCCAGACCGTCCCTGAACACCAAACCCAGTCTTATTCTTTAAGCCTTGGCTTCTAATTTCTAAATTGGAAACCCTTAATGTTGTTGAGACAGTTATATTCAAAGCGTTGAGGGTAAAACAGCCTTATGAATAGCTTAAACAAGTTCAGACAGCAGCAGAAACTTTGTATTACCCAGAGCGGAAAATGAAAGTAATTGTATCCTCTCGCTTTGTATCATAAAAATGGAGTCTGGCAGTTCCGCGCTGGGAGGTCCACTTCCAAAAAGCAAGAGTCTTTTCTGATCTTTTAACAGTTTCTAGCAGGGTAACAAAACAGTTAAATTTCCCCCCTTTCTCCCTGCTGGGTTGGAGATATTTCCTTAGAAGGTAAAACAGCCTCTTTGAAGTTACGTCTTCGGTAAACAAGCACTGCTTTCACTTTTTCTCCAGCAGAAAGGGATCGACCTCCGTAATTTAAATCCCTTTCATTCCAAATTTTAGTCAAATTATTATCCTTTTTACTCACGATTGTCCAAATTAAAGTTTACTCAGGGAAATTGGCTGCTCACGATTGCCGGACTCAGGAGCTTCACGCAGTGAGGGAAGCGCGTTGATTCCTCAGAACCCGCGTCTCGAACCCAGCTCACTTTCAGGGCTCTAACAGAGCTTACCGGGAAGCGAGGGAGTCGCTATGGGTACCCACCGGAACACCAGGTCCTCAGAACGCTCGATCTGAGGTTTTTAACGGGGTGCTGCAACGCTCTTGCCGTCACCCCCAGTCTCAATGCGCAGAGCTCTGAAAGAGCTCCTGTCTGCCATGAAAGGGCGACCAACCCGGAAGTCAGAACGAATTAAGTTCTTAACCCGAGGTACCACTGTATTTTGAGAATGTTACATCCCATGTTTTTTCCAGCCAGCCAACCTTTCATAGAAAATCCAGCTGACTTCCAGTGGCTCTCTAACTCTATCTAGAGCCATCAGGACAGAGGGACTGCGCTAAGGGTCACCAGGAAATTGAATCATTCAAAGTGCTAGTGCTGGATCAGGTGGAGAGAGTTTCCTAAACTGTCAGCATCCCCTGAGTTGACCTGATGCTGTGCAAGGGTCCCCAACTAACCTTAAAAGACCTCACCTGGGTTTCCCTTCTGCTTACCTAAACTCCAGGGAGAGTGAAAGTAACGTCTTGTCTGCAGAACAAGACACACCAAGGGGTTGGCAAAGATGAGATCCCATGTTGCCAGAGAGAATCTCAATTCCAGTTGCCATAAGGAAACCCCACACCCCCTTTTTGAATGTTTTTATTAAATACTGACCCTCTTCTGGTGAATTCTCAGACAGGCATGCAGACAGAAATTGACTTGGTGTTTCCCTAAGCAAAAGGAACCATCTAAAACTATTCATTAAAGAGTATCAATAAATAGAAGCATACATAAATAGAAGCATACATAACATATTTAAATAGAAAGATGTTTAAATAATAGATTGTTAATCACTCCTTTAAACACAGCTATACATAACGTTGCATGATAAAATCATTTTCAGTATAGGAGAAAGGTCACTAATAAACACATTGGGCATTTTAAAAGTGCCGTAAAGCCCAGCACTCCACTCAGGAGATTCTGGCCCAAATTTCCTCATCTCTCAGAGCATTTCCATCTGCATTTTCTTTTTTCCAGGTATTTCTGGGGAACAGCCTGGACAGCACTGGGTTGTATCTAACTGCTGCAGGCAAAGAGAAAATGCAGTCCTTACCAAGTTAATGGTCTTTCACTCTTTCTCAAGGGATGGAAAGAAGTTTGCTTTCAGAGAAGTCCAGAGATGTCTTGAGCAGAAGAACCCACCTTTGGCTGGTTTAAATAGCCAAATGATCAGTATTTTAATCTTAATCAAGATTAAGATGCTCATTGATGTTTGGAACTCACAAACTCGTTCTGCCAGGAAAAAGACATTACAGAGCACAGGGAGTTACTTCCCCGCAAACACTTCACAGTTCTCATCACCACCTCATTGGTTCTCCAATGAGAAGAGACGTTAAGTCATGGATCTCTGTCCTTAAGTACAAGGTGGGAGTTAATATTCCCCCACCAATTTATGATAGTTGAAATGCTGCATGAGGCACCCCTGATCTGAATTGGGAGATTAGTGGGGAATGAGTTCATTGGATAATCCCCATGCATCTGTATATCTGTTTTCGCCTCCCATGATTAAAATTGAAGCCGAAAATTGTTCCTTGCAATCCTAAAGGGCAGGAGTGGATCACATGGGGTTAAGTTATTGGGCGGGTTATGATGGAATGCAAGGGGGCAGTGAAACAATAGATCCAAATCCCTAAGGATGGATGTTTGGGGATGAGAGGGCGAGTCTGCACATAGTCTGGTTGACCAGCTGTGAGTGAGGGTATCATGCTACAGATTTCTGCCATGGGAAGGCATTAGACTAAAAGTCCCACCCAGATCTCAAATTCTGTGATTGCTGCCTGCTTGGTAGAGAAAGTTTCAGCTGATCTCTCAGAGGTATGCCTCCCCTCCCCTCTTCTTTCTCCTCACAGATGAAGAGGCAACTCTGGTCATGGAAAACTGAAAAGCAGACTGGAATCAACCCAAATGCCAAGCAGATTCACCAAAATATCTCAAAGGCCTAATGCATGCCACCTCTGCTCCATTATTCCTTTAACCCAGAACCCAGGTTTCATGGGCACCCCAAACAATACCCACCATTGCCTCAGAGGACCTGCCAGAACCCTGAAGTTGAAAATAAATCATGGCCTTCAAACCTGCCGTTTGGTGTATTGAATTTAAACCTACAATATGTCTGTCCAGAAGTGCCAACAGGTTTTTCTGGTCCCAATATGTGGCTTGGGCCCTGGAACCCACTTCCAAATCAGGACACAGATTTTCCTCAAATTTGCTTGTCCTTCATGTCATATGGAGCAGGTCAAGGGAGGTGAACCACAAGTTCCTAATTCGGCCCATTTGGCATTCCCTCTGGGCCAGTCTTTCCATTCTGAGCAAGTCGCACCCAGCTGCCAATCAACTGATATCACATATGCACTTTTATTGCCTAACTTCCCCAAGAAGCCCAGGGAGAGCAATTTGAAAAGCAGGGCAATGCAAAGACATTCTAAAACAGTGAAATATCATCCAGTCCACCAAAGTCCTGGTATGTTATATGCCCCATGCTGGTGGGTGGGGCAGTTCCCTTTCTCTCTGTTTATGCCATCTCCTTCTCTCCCTTGCTCTCCAACTCCCTCTCCCACTCCCTAAGCCATCCCCTGGCCCTTCTTTCCTCTTTCATTGATACCCCTGTGAAATTAGGCTAAGGGCTGCAGGAGATTAGGCTGATTGCTGGCAGTTGTGCACCCTTCTTTTCTTGAGGTCTCCTTCTGCTCTGGCTGGTCTCCTGCACTCCTGGTTGGTTGGCTGTATGCTAATTCAGAAGGACAGGACCATACGCTGGTGATGTGACTTGAAGCAGGGTGGTGATGTGGGGATAGGACTGGGGAGGAGCAGATCTGAAGCAAATTCCGTATCCCTCTAACACCACAGCTACACCACAGAACTTTACATCTGCTCCACAGACTCTCCTTAACATTGATTGCCTACTTCAGGTACCCATGAAAGAGTTCTAGAACAGGCAACATGAAACTTACGTTGTAAACTGGGCAGAATGGGTGTGGGCGTCAGGTGCGTTGGAAACTTTTGCAGTCCCAACTACCACTGAACCCAACATGTTTTGACTACCTCCCACTATGACTTTAGGCACTGTCACTGGAACTTAACCCCACCATAAGCTGAGAGTCACCTGTACCTACAAATGAGACACGTCATCTGCTGAGGAGGTCTCATTCCAAACAGCAATGCAATTTAACAGACGAACCATAACACAGGTAGAATCAATAGCCAGGACAACCTTGGCAAGATGGGGTGATATGGGGCGTCTGTTACAGAAAGTGTTTGCAGCTTCATTGGGCCAGGAATGGTTTTGTTCCCTGCCTTGTGGTGCTTGAATGAGCTGGACATTGTCTCCACTTTGCTACACACAGGGAAATCCAGCAGAATTGAGAACACATTGTCTTCTTCCTTGTCACCAAACAGAGGAGCAGAGGCTGTATTGATAGATGCCACATGGACTGCAGGTGGGGGAGGACCTTGCGGTGAAGGATGACTCCAGCCCTGGATCCTATCCATTGCCCCTCTGCCTGCCTTAAGTGCCCATGAAGAGAGCTGCTCAGCAGCTCCTAGACACTAAATGGACTCTCCTTGGTGCCTGCCAATCACAGGTTGAGGGGGGGTCTCCTTCTATTGAAGCTTCCTCCCAATTTCCTTCCACAAAGCTCACACAGAGGATCACACAGAGGGTCAGAGGATATCTGGCATTTATTAAGCATCCCTACAGGGGACAGGGGACAGTGCATGACAATTAGCATTCATCCCACATTCCTTCCTGATTATTTGCAGGGTATTTCTACACCTTCCATTTCATTATTTGTCCATGTCACACTTTGCAGGGCATTTTCACATTGCAGTTCTAGCCCCTAAAAGTGCATTTCCTTTCTAAAAGTTGTGTGTGAGAGAGGGCAAGGGCAAGGGAACATACATTCCAACTTATCAATATTCTTCTTTAACTGTGTTGCCCAGAACTGGACACCGTACTAGAGATCATCTTGGTCACCATCCTCTGCGCGCATTCTAGCTTATCAATACGTTTCTTGAACTTCATGAGCTAGACACAGTACTCTTAGTGTGGTCTGATCAAGGAAACATAGAGCAATACTATTACTTCCCTTGATTGGGACACTATACTTTTGCAGATGCACACTAGGATGTCATTCACTTTTTCTACTGCAGCATCACATTGTTGACTCATGTTAAGCTTGTTGTTTACTAAGACCCTGAGATCTTTTTCAGCTGCACTACTTGACAAGTCAGGTGCCCCCCACATCTCATGTTTGTGCAGCTGGTTATTCCAAAAGCCCTTTGCTTCACGCTGGAGCTCAGCACTTGGGGCTTCCAAAGGGACACAGAACAGCTGATAGTTGGTGCTCCAGAGACCCCTTTTGCCCCCGCCCAGCCACCTTTGTGCCTGTCCATACCTGACCTTAGATAAGATGTGAGGTGATTGGGAAGCTTGCCCAGAATTGTCTGATGAGCAAAATGGGGTGGGCCTCCTTGGGGCTGAAGGTTCACCATCCTTGCCCTGGCACAAAGAAACACATGTTTTGCAGCATGAAAAGAAATGTCAAAGTATCCAGCAAAGTTTAGCCTGAAGAAGTGCGGAATAGGAAGATGCAGGAACACACTGCAAAAAAATATATTCTTTTTTTAAAAACCCCCCGATTTTTATTAAATTTTCCACGTTTATCATGTTCACATTTTGTTACATAATTCTTTAACTTAATACATTACTCTATAAGAGCATCGACCTCCTTCCCTCCCTCTTCTGACTTCAACACATCTTTCTATATTTTTCACATTTCTATAATCACTTGTTTACCTTCTGTCTTATTATAATATTTCACCTTGTTATCTGTAAAGCAGTTCCTTATATTTGCATTACAAAACATTTCAGTTCAAGCCTACAAACATTTTCAGATGTTTACAATTTTCTTTCATGTAAAATATAAATTTGTTCCAGTCCTTTTAAAACAGTTTGTCACACTGATTCCGGATCTTCCCCGTCAGCTTGGCCATCTCTACGTACTCCACCATCTTGACCTGCCAGTCTTCCAATGTTGGGAGTTCCTGCTGCTTCCATTTCTGAGCCAGAAGTATCCTTGGAGCCTTTGTGGCATACATAAACATATTTACATCTCTTTTATGTATTTCCTCTCCAATTAAACCTAATAAAATGCCTCTGGCTTTTTATTCAAGTTATATTTTAAAACCTTTTTCAGTTCATTATATATTGTGTCCCAAAAGGCTTTCACTTTAGAACAGGTCCACCACATATGGAGGAAATTCCCCTCCTTCTCCTAACACTTCCAACAACTTTTATCTTGATTTCTATACATTTTAGTGAGT